ATGCTTGGCAGGCGAATTGGCACCAGCAATTAGATTTTGGAGATATTTTAAGAGGGACGCTGCTACCCATCCCTCGCCCTGCCTTAGTCACCTCTTACGACTCCACTGGGAAAAGAATACTCTATTCTCATCTAGGAGTACACGGCAATATAGATATTATATTGTTATATTATTTTACTACTGTATCGTATTACAAAAGGTTAAGTAATTAAAACAACTCTCATAATTAATGTAGATAAACATTCATTACGGTAAAATAATAATATAATAAAATTAATGTTAAGAGATAAAGACCACAAAAAGTGAAGTTGACAAAAAAAAATAAGATCCCGATAAAAATTAAGATCACGTACCGAACTCATTTTCTGTCAGAGCATGCAGATTGAGGTATCCGGAAAGTTTACTAATTACATCCTTATCTAATCAGAGGGTGGAAGTTCCTTTTTTTTTTCTTTCTACCTTTTCTTCAATTTTACATTGTTGATTTTTAAATATATTGAAAATTTCAAAGTTGCAGGTATAATTTGTTTAATTTTGCATAAATCATCATCCGGTATTCTCCATTCTTCTAATTTGCATATGAAGCTTAAAATTATAAAGACTTGGATAACTCCAATAATTCGAATTTTTATTTCATTATACATTGCGCAATTTGTAAATTATGGTATTGATTTATCTTGTATTGGCTTTTTTTAATTCATAGTAATGCTTGCAAATCTAAATATATAAAGATACCGTGTCACAATGACGACGTTTGTTCACTCTAATCTTCGAAATCGCTTAATCGATTATAATGAAATTTTTCAAATGGGTATTGCTTGCTTTTACTTGAGGGATAATATAGTTTTTATTCTAGTATGGAGGTATTAAACTTTAATACTCAGGAATGGTAATGCATGAAGGCTATCATGAAAGTCGCAGTATACTCTTTGCGATGTCTATGGTGCCATTCATGTCTATAGGCAACAGTTGACGCTTTCATGTACTGCGTCAGCTACTTTCACATTCTAAATATCATAAAAGTTTTACCAGTAGCTACCACACTTGGCAAGCGGGTTGACAACCACAGTTACGCTTTGGTGATGTTTAAAGAGTGATGCCGCTGTTCATTCCACGACCATTAAGTTCCCTTAGTCGCCTTTTACGACATCCATGGGAAAAGAAGATGTGCCCCATTCTATGCCAGGACTACACAAAAGTCAAACTGCGGTTGCCAATCCGATTGACAAGTGTGGGAGCTACTGGCAAAAAATGGTTAACTACCATAAGGAAAGGCCTCGTCCTTTATGACAGGTCTATGTTCAACAGTGGACAGACAACGGCTGACATAATAGTGATGATGATGATGAAGTCATCATGATGCTATAAATAGTAAACAAACTCAGGGGAGAAAGGGATTGTTAGTAATGGAGACTGAGAATCCCATTGCTAGCAATATACACAACCAGGTCGACCTTCTCGCGTTTCACCTGGAAACTATCATAGTTAATACCTGATGAATTCATCATGATGGGCTAACTGGTCTGTTTTCATTCTCATCTATCACCTTTCACTGGTGCTCCGCCAGCGTATCCCGTTAGCGCAGGCGGGGTTACCATAGCATTTACACCCATCAAAAAAAAAAAAGTAAACAAACTCACTTTCACATTCATAATATTAGCAAGTATTTCAATATTACTTATTTATTAACGTCCTCTTTTATATATAGATATAATAAATCATTGCAATATATTATTTTTATCAAAATTCGTCATAACAGACCTCTCTATGTAATATCTTACCGTCTAAATGTCCATATATGTCGGAGTTAACAGAAATATCACTCACTCTGTCTTCAGTAATTGTCAAATGATTGACTTCACTCCTTGGTAATAATCTATGACGGCATTGCTTATATAGAAAATTATGCTCGGCAAAATACCCCACGGCTATTGTTTGTACTCCCATTACTGTCTTGTGAAACGACACCTGTGTAGTTCATTTTAAACTTTCACTTTGTTTACACGTACACACGTACATTTGAATACACAATCGGGACTTAACGTAATGTAAAAACGACAGGACTTATGACTTGAAATTTGAAATAGTTTCAAACATTGTTGACTCACATATGTTAATAATTGTATTTTTTTTTTTTTATCAATTATTTTCATTAGGGAGTCCAAAAGGAATATTCAAAATTCCCAAACGGTTTTACTACAGTTCAAATAATCCTTAACAAGAACATGGACTATAGGAGTGACACATTAATACGAAATGGGTCACGTTAAATTGTTACCGGAGGCAACACTGCAAGTAATTGTTAGTAATTTTTAATTACTAACAGTTACTTGCAGTGGAAATATTTGGAAATTTGGATATTAATATAGTTCTTTATGTGTTGCTAAAATAAATCTTCTTCTCGTATAAAACAATTATTATAATTAAGTATATGTATTATTTCTCAGCTTATAGCTGGTTTTGTAAAGACAAGGACGGGTTTGTTACCAAGTCACTTGTCCTCATATTTTATTTTAATGGAACTATTTAAAAATTTCCTAACTATGGAGAATGTGTACTGCTTCTGGATTTCTGGAGTTCAATGAAGAGTGTTTTATTAAGGTGCAGTTTATTTAATGAGTTGTTCTGTTGATTTCTGGAGTTCAATGAAGAGTGTTTTATTAAGGTGCAGTTTATTTAATGAGTTGTTTAAAGATGCAGGTTGGCAACCGCATTTAGACTTTGGTGGTGTTTTAAGAGGGACGCTGCTGCCCCTCCTTTAATCATTGAATTCCCTTAGTCGTCTCTTATGACATCTACAGAAAAGGAAGGGATGACCTATTCCATACTAGGACTATACGGCAATTTATTATTGTTATTTAATAATTCCTTTGTTATGTATTAATACTTTGTATTTGAAAAAAATATCTATTTTTGCTGTTATTACTGTAAACATACGAAATTACTCCAAAGAAAACATTAGCAATCCGTCCCAGGCTTCGCACGAGTATATAAACGAAAATATAAATTAGTATTTTATACTTTTTTGATACAATTTTTATTTTTTTATTGTTGATACCTTGGGTTACATTATTATAATTTCCATAGGAATCTATATTTATTTATTTTTTAGAAATTTTATTTTTGATTTTTATTTTTTTTATCTTAATAATTAATTTTAATTATAAATTTGATTTAATATAATAATAATACATTTAATAAAACTAATACATTTCACATATTTTTTTTAAATATTATATATTTTATATTACTCGCTGATAATGTACCTTTCTATAGGTGAAATAATTTTTAAAATCGGTTGTATAGTTTTTAAGTTTATCCATTACAAACAAACTTTTAAATGCTTTCAATACCAGTATAGATTAAATAATTCATCTCAACTAGGTAGTACATTGCATTTAAAAAAATATATTATATATTTTCTTTCAATCCAATATTATTGTAAAAATACGAAATTATTAAAAAATATATAAATAAAAAATAACCATTTGAAACTACAAGTGGTGAACCAGTATAAACAAAGTGTGCATTTATATGTCTATCAAATAAAAACAAGTAAATATTTGGATAATATCAAACGCACTTGTTGTTCAAAATAAACAGAACATCGATGTTATACCATATCACTAAAAAAAACTCGAGCAAGAACGCTTCAATAAATATTTATTTTACTTAATCCAGAATATTATTTACCAAAATCAGACTTTGCTGTCTTGTCCGTGCTTTTGTCGCTATACTGCTGTAGATATGGCATTAAAATGACAAGAAAATATGAAAGTAAAATTACAGAGTAGCAATGCGCGATTTAACTATTCCGATTAGTAATTATTCGTCTGAGCAATTCATTCGGATTATTCGATTGATTTTCAAATCATTCGATTACTAATTTCATCCGACTACTAATTTCATTCACAATACGCTTCTACTTATAGTTAAAATCATTTATTAGTCGTTGTTGATGCACGAGTAGGTACGAATATAGCCAAGTTGACCTGATCGCTGGAATCTTTTTTTAATGGACAATATTGTTGCCGATTTTTATTTAGTAAAAATAACTAATTTTCAACAAATATAATTAAAATATTTAGAAAAGTTAAATTTTAGTAATTAATTACTATGTATATTGAAAACAAATGTACGCGACAGCGTGTATTTCTTTTTGTTTTTTAGTCATCGCACATTATTACTTATTGTTAAAGAAGTAGGGGGTAGGTGGTTAATAAAATCATTCGAATTCGAAAATTTTTATATTACTAATTTATTAGTCGAATTATAAAATTAGTAACTACTAATTATTCGAATAACCACTTTATTCGTATTCGCGCATCGCTATTATAGAGTACCGAGACAACACCATAGTTCACATGGCAACGCATGAGGTATATCAACACAATTACAATGAAGTGTAGCCCCGATCATATCTTTTGGCCATTAGCTTGTTTTCCATTCTAAGTGTTATAAAAATGAACTTATTTTTATTTCTGCATTTAATTATTAAGTAAACGAATAATTAACCAAGAAAATGTCTGTCGATATCTATAACAGTAGTTTAAATAAAAAAAATATTAATTTATTGCATAAATTAATAATTTGTCTTTGTTACTTTTTTTTTCATTTATGTATTTAGAGTATTTCTATGATAATTGAAAAATCTTTATTTCTATTTCGATATGTATATTTAAATAGACTGTACTAATAAAAAAAAATTTTTATTACTCCATTACTCCAAGAAGATATAAGGAAATTTAGTTTTTGTTTGAACATAACATAAATCTTCTAAAATATTTCTAATAAATTTTATCATTATAATTAACATAGGCTTTCTCCTTTTAAGAAGTTTTGCCAGTAGTAGCCACGCTTGGCAGGTAGACTGACAAACGCAATTAGGCTTTGGTAATGTTTTAAGCGGGGCACTGCTGCCCATTCATCGCCTATTAAGAAAATAAAATTAATATTTATATAAAAAAATTAGTAGGATAAAATATACAGTTATATATATATATATTTTTTATAATATCTGTCCCTTATATTAAGTTCACCCTAACAAAAATCTATGAATGTATTTCGAAGTTAACAGGAAATAGACATTGGATATAGAAAATTTATGATATTTCCTTTTAGATTCCTATTTGCAGACCTTGATCGGTATCCACTGTTAGCCATCTTAGTTCTCTGTACAGCTTATCTAATTTGTTCCTACGTTTTTCTATTTGTGCTTCTCTCAGCTGTGCATCTGATGTCTGTAAATATAAATTGTTATGCTATTATTGTAATACATGTTTAATAAATAATTATTTTAGAGCTTAGTGAGTGATTAGAGATGAAGTATAATAGATTTTGTATCATAAAAAAATTACTTTAATCATAGCATCATTATTTTGACACAGTACGTCATGATCATCATCGTCATATCAGGTCCTAACTGTCCACTGCTGAACATAAGTCTTCCCTTTATGGAGTTTTGCCAGCATTTGCCATGCTTGGCAGGCGAATTGGCAACCGCAATTAGGCTTTGAAGATGTTATAAGAGGGATGCTGCCGCCCTCCCTTAGTCACCTCTCACGACACCCACGGGAAAAGAAGGGGTTGCTTTTTCTATTTGGCATAGAATAGGTTACCCTTTTTTTTTCATAAAGCAGTATAATTTATTGTAACTCATAAATACCTCGAATATTCTCATTTCATCATCCTCCCGGATGTCTTTCGTTCTTCTGTAATCCAAATCATCATCCTGTTGTCCTATACGATACAAAGGAATACTTTCTCTTCTTCTGAGTTTACCAACAAAGTTATCTGCGTCGAATCCGTTAGATTTATAAATTAATAAAATAAATAATAAACTTATAAAAAATTTATTAATACACTTATGTACCATATTAGATTATTTATAATTTAAAAAATGTTTTTGTCAGAATTACAATAACTATCCGTTAGGTATTATTCGATCTTATTTTTATAGGCCAATGAAATGACTTTATCAAAACAACTATAGGATGCATGCAATAAATTATATTTCTGCCTTTTAAAAATTACAAAATTTTAAATGTAGCAAATAAAATTAATAGAAACATTTATTGACTTAACGTTATAGTGAATCGTGTAATATTATTATTATAAGAAATTCAATAAATTTATTCACGTAATTAAAATGTAGATTACGGTTTTAATTATATATATTATAAACATATATTCGTTCAGTTTGTTTTAATCGGTTTTAATGAACCGATTATGAAATAAATAATATTATTATTTCTAAAAGTAATATAAAATAATACATTAATAAATATTGAAGTATTATAAATGTAGACAGAGAAATTTATACTATCAAAATGCCATTTAAATGGGCATGCATCATTGCGCGCCCGCGGCATTTCCAGCTCGTTGCAAAATGTGATTTATTTCGCATCCTGTATCTAACGGTGTAAAAACTTTTACGATGCACACCTAAAATTGGTTCTAGAACAGAAAGTGTTTTATAGTGGCACTAAACAGAACGATATTCATATTGGACGTGGACTATAGTTGGACAAGTTTAAAAAGGATGAGATTCACAATTCATCTATTAATAAAGAATTTATATAAGACTTATATTTATTAACTTATATTAATATTATTAGTAGATAACATATGAGCTGTAATTTATGGACGACTTCAAAGGAGGAGATTCTCAATTTGTCAATAAGGAATTTATCTAATAAACTTGTACTAAAGTGGAACAGATTCTTAGTGGGTAACGCATGGGCTATACTTTTTATGGATGACTTCAAAATGGAGGAGGTTCTCAAGTTATCTTGTAATAAGGAATTTATTTAATAAACTTATACTTGAAGTAAACAGATTTTCAGTGAGTAACGTGTGAACTATACTTTATGGATGACTTCAAAAAGGGGGAAATTCTAAAGGATAATAGATGAGGATGAAAAGGCAGATCAGTTAACCCATCGTGACGAATTCCACTAGAATTAACCGAAGTCACGGGTAATATGTGGTACTATATTACTATTGACATTTTAATCACATAAAATTCGCATATTTATATCGCTCACCAGCGGGAGACTTTGTACAAAAGTCGACTGCTTGGGTACCTCTGTCCCATTCGTGTTTATACCGTGAAGCAGTTGTGTTTGCATGGCAGTGTTTCGGTTTGAAGGGTGGGATATGGCGTGAATTTACAGGGTACAGAGGAATAACACCTGAGTCTTCAGGAATAGCAACGCATGGGAGGGATCACGGGCGAAACAGTATCTGTGTATACTGTCATGTCCACGGTACTGCTCATGTCTATAGGCGACGGTTACCACTTTCCATCAGGTGGACCGTCAGCTTATTTGCCATTCTAAGTCGTAAAATAATAAAATCGTTAATAAAAAAATCTGCTAAAATTCCTACAAAAACAGAAACTAGAAACTAGTACTTGAAAGAAATCCGATTTTGCAAACTGTCTCTTATTGAATAAAATATTTATTTTTTATATAAATTTGATTGAACCACTGAACGAATCAATTTTATTTACTTTAAAGGTATAAATAAATTAAAATAACATCGTTTATTTGGCGTCGACGCAAAATTGGTTACGAGCTTATGTTAAGACTCTTATACGTTCGCAAATACGCAGTGATAATTTACACCGCATGTTTTTTTTTTGTTAATATAGAATTCAGTTGATGGATATTATATAAAGCTATACGAATTTACAGAAGGAAAAACCGCTTGATAATTTTATTCAATATGTGGATTGAAATTCGCTTGAAAAAACTGTCACAGAATATTGCCAGTAGGTTGAGCTAATCTTTACCACAGGGAGAAAGAGATTGCTAGTAATGGGTCTAATTGACGCATTGCTAGCAATACACCCTATCAGGTTGACCTCCACGCGGTTCCCCCTGGAAACCATCGTGGTTAATTCTAGTGGAATTCGTCACGGTGGACTAACTGACCTGCTTTCATCCTCACCTATCATCCCTCACTGTTGCCCCGCCAGCGTATACCGATAGCACAGGCGGGGTTGCCATTCCATTGTTACCCATTAAAAAAAAATCCTTAAACGTAGTAGTCGCATGCATACAAATGGTATCGGAATTAAATAAAACAATTCGAATCAAATAACCTATCTTTTTTGCTCAGCAATGTATATTTGTTTTAGTTTAATATCAAATAATAACAATGTTTCTAATCATATAAGTTTGATCATAGAGTCAACGATCTAATGGAGGTAAATTGGTTCTGAACAAATGGTAGTGTTCAATATAATCTATCACTACCCACTACTTGTAGAGACAACAATGATAACCTGAAGGTGCGATTCCGATACTTACTATTTTTTATAGCTTAATAAATAGTCTAACAGCTTACCTTATGGATAATAGTGAAGCGATAGTCACTTTTATCTGTCAGGTAAGCTTAAAGGTAAAGATATGAACTGTGCCATGGTTCTATCGGAGATCTTCATGTAACGAAGACGGCTTGGAAGAGGGCAATAATACAAGAGGGCGCCACTTTCAGTATTAGTGATACAATGATAATAATCAACGAATTGAACCTAATTCGAAAAAGTTTGTTTCCTAAAAAGACCTAACCAGGGATCAAATCATAGTCCTCAGTCCTTCTGGTTTGATTTCCGGTCGGTTACGCATAGCACCCAGTCTTCCATACACCACTGTGGTAGTGAACTAATAGTTGACAAATGCTTTTGGTTGCTTCATCAGGGACTATAGTTGAGAGTATTTTTTGTTAATTTACTAGCTGACCTAACGGACACAGTCCTGTAAAAAGGTATTGTTTGAATTCAGAGCTATGAGCAGTTTATATAAGAAAAAAAAGAGGTTATTAAGTTACGTTATATCGAGAATTTTTTGCAATTTTTTTCTTCATAAACGCTTTCCTTGAACTTTTGAATATTTAAAAATAAAATTGATTCTGATATTCTCAAGTTTGCACAAGTGATCCATCGGTAAGAGTAGATTCTTCGTCGCTCCCATCTCGCGGACTTATTACCACCTGCACTCGCCCTTGCATGCGTCCGGTGAAACTGTTAAGGCCATCTGCGACCAACAGTAACCACAGCTCGAATAGAGTGAGTTTACGCTTAGAAATATATTTAGCGCTTCATTTTTTATTATACATTATTACATTATTTATATAGATTTATCAAACTACTAGCGAATTGTACTTCGAATGTTGGTCGCGACAATGACAAAAATACAATAATTTTTGTCGTTGTCGCGACATTCGAAACATTACCTTAATCCACACGCGACCGTAGTAAACCCAATCACAAAACACGTTCACCAGTTATACCTACTGCTAATAAATGACTAGCATTTTTTGAGTAAACCCTTTAATTATGGAAAATTGTTAGACACGATTCGTCGGAATTGTCACGTTCAAATAACATTTTAGTGTTCAGTATATATTAATATTATTTTATACCCACGACTTTGTCCACATAACTGGGATAAAAAGTATCCCATGTGCTTTTCTATCCCAAATGTGTTTACTAAACTTCATGAGGATTATTTGAGGTGTTAAGCTGTTAAGAAACAAACAAACTTACTTTCCCATAAATGTTTAATCAACTTCAAAAAGAAGAAGGTTCTCGGTTGCATTTCTTTTTATGTTTCCGTTAGTTATAAACCGATTTAGAAAATTCTTTTATCTGAAAGGATAAACTTACAGATTAATCCCTTATAAATTTAATCAAAACTAACTCAATAATTTAATTTTTAAATCACAATAACTGGTTGCTACAATTGAAGTCAGTTTTTTTTTTTTTATTATTGTTTTACTAATTTAATATTATGCAAAAATAAAACAACTGTTTTGCGCCTACTACAATAGAATTAGAACTATTAAGTTCTTGTACAATAAATGCTCATAATTGGAAAAATTGTTAGTAAGCAGACTTCCAATATATCTAATAAACTCACTTCACGTTATGCCCCTGAAGCTATCTTGGTTAATTTCTGGAGAATTCATCATGAACTAATTGACCTGAATTCATCTTCGCCTATCATCACTCAATAGCACTCCATTAGTACACCAAACCGCGGGGAAGGGATTGTAATTGGGACCTTACAACTCCAATGCTAGCAAAATACTATCAGGTCGATCTTTATGCAGTTTTCCGTGGAAATCGTCTTGGTTAATTCTTGTGGCATCTTGACTGTGGGCTAACTGATTTGTTTTTATACTCACCTATCATTCCTAGCTGATGACTCGCCAACATATACCGATAGCATAGGCAATGTTACCTATTAAAAAAAGAAGTGTACTAATCTAGCAACGCCTATGTGGTTGCTATCACTTTATCACGCTTGTTAAAATATAATATGGTAGTAGTTAAAATAATATAATATAATTTTTAAAATACTGTTCATTAAACAATATACAAACTAATATATATGTATATTGACGTATATTAGTTCCTTAGATTATAAAGATAGAGCCTCGAGCCTCAAAAATGGGTCAACTTTTTGTCTGCTAATTGTCATATTAATTGACTTGTCTTTTTATCAATTTTCAATATACTTACGCATAAAATGTATCTTGGACCTATTATTTAATAAATAAAATGAGTATTTACGCATTAAATAGGTGCAGAAATTATAAGACAAAATAAATACCTATAGAAGTTTTAAAGAAATCTCTCATAACTATTTATCACGCAAAATTATATGAGAAAGTAGACCCGTTTTTCTCGAAGCATTTATATGAAGACACTCTATCTATATAATCTAAGACTAGTTCATGTATTCTTAAATAGAGTTCATTAAACCATACATCATTTGCGTAAGTACTAACATTAAATTCTGGTAATTTATAAAATTGATTGTACTTATTGTATTGTTGTATATACGGTTTCATTAATCGTATTAACTTGGAGGCAGATTCCTAATTGTCGACACGTAAACAATCAACCAGTAATCCATTAGAGACACGCGCCTAATGATTGTTCTAAAAAGAAAGGAGGTCACAATTATTCAACTTGAAAATAAAGAAATGAGAAAAAAACACGTCAGAAAAAACATGTCGGCTTGGATGTCACCGCATAGTAAGTGATGCATTGGTTCATATGATTTTCGGCTCCATAAAATGTTAAATTTGTTTTAATACTCAATTCTGTATGATAAATTAGTTTAGGTAAGTTAGCTAGCGAAGCAATACCGCCGCCATCTTGGAAACGCTGTCACATCGTAAAGCTCTAAATTTTTAAATGATTTTTCAGAACGGAAGAGGTTTTTTTTTGTACATTATATGATATTTTCATCAACATTGGACCGATTTTCAACCAACTTCAAAGAAAGCTCATTTTCTAATGTTTATTACCTCATAACTTCGCCAACTATAAACCGATTTGAAAAATTCATTGTTTCTTTTTTTCAAATGATATATAATACTTTTGTATTATTTTTCTAGAAATTTCATTAAAATCATTTCAGTAGTTAATTATCAAATCAAATTAACCGGTTTTGCCGATTTTACGGTTGAAGTCATTTTTTCTTTTTTTTTTTTGTGGAGCAATATCTATTCGTGTGTACGTCTGTGTTGCTATAACATCGCTATTTGTGATTTCTTATCACGTTGGCACCACATTAATTTTGCAACGATCAGATATGCCAATTTTCTTTGCGGAATAAAATCATACGATTGTGCATTTTGAACTCAAATCACGTTTATTGCTTTTGTAAATTTAGCTTTTGTTAATTTTACAAGAAGAATAATGAGACTCATACATATATACAAAAAAATTCTTATTGCAGATTTAAAGAGCTTTTTACCTAAAACGTCATATAATTATGACTGAATAGGTATTATTCAGAAACACTCAATATACCCTCAATAATTAAAATAGTTTTATTTATAGCGGATATACGTTTTTATAAACTTGCATTTACATCTTTGCAAACTTGTCGAGTACTACAGGTCACAGAAAATCAGCTGTTGTCAACTGACAAAATATCACGTAATTGTAATAAAAAAAATATAGATATACTACTCTTACTAATGTACTTTTGTAACAAAAATTAGAAAATGCAATAATTACTATTTTAGTCAAAAAAATAATGGCATATTTTATTCTTACACTTTTATTCATAAAACCTCCCACGAATCTGTTTTAACTATTAATGTGTTCTCTTATTTGGTATTTCATTGTTTCTGTCTACCCTAATGAGAGATAGGCGTGACATATGTATGTTTCATCGTATTCTCTTACGTATGAAAAATTATAGCAAAATTAAGGTAATAAATACTTGAAAATATATGAAATACGAGTAGATTTATAAAACGTTTGAACTTATTAAGAATAAAGATGTGCTACTCGATTATCGCAAATTAAATAATAAAGTAAGTGTTAAATGCAATTTGAGATTTTAAGAGTTTTAGTGTAACTCACATAATCTTGATCCGAGCTTAAGGGGACTAATGGCCCCATTACTAGCAATATATTTAATTAAGTCGATCTCCTTGCTGTTTCCACTGGAAAACACGGTGGTTAATTGTTGTTAAATTTGTCACAGTTGGCAAACTGACTTGCTGATTGGTGTCCCTCTAGCGTCTACTAAATAAGCGATAGTGTAGGAAGGATTACCATTCCATTTTCATCTATTATAAAAAAAAAAAAACAAACTAACTAACTAATACAACTGACAGTGAATGGAATGTTTATCTATTTATTAAATTGAAATTATATATTGTATTTCAGCAAACAGGGTGCATGTTAAAAAGAAAACATGGAGGACTCCGGCTACATTTCAAAAATCATTAAAAGTCACGTTGGTAATGGGACAGATTTTTTCACTATTACCAGTTGTAGGTATATGTAGTGATGATCCAATGAATGTAAGGTAAACGTATACAAACTTATCTATGACAAGTACATTGCCACACAAACACATTGCTCCGCAAATAATTAACGATCGTGCCCCACAAAAAAAAAAAACAAAATTCAATTGGAACAAAATCAATTATTTACATTTAAAAACTAAATTACTGAACCGTTTTTAATAAAACTTCTATGGGACCAAAATGTAAGCATATCCTTTCTAATAAAATAATAATTTTCCAAATCGATTTAAAACTGATTAAGATATGATATAACAAACATAAAAAATACAACTGAATTGAAAATCTTCATATTTTTCTATAATTACTCCAGTACTAAACTATTTTACTATATACTATATAAACTATTTCAGTTGATATAGCGACTTCAATCAGAACACAAAAACACTAATTTACACACCGACAAAAACCGACAGATTTTTTAGATATTTATAATGTTTGAATTTAGAACCCCATTTATTTATTTATTGTTACAACACAGGGGGCGAACGAGCATGCGGCTCACCTGATGGTAAGTGACTACCATGGTTCCGCGTTCTAAATTCAAACATTATAAATGCGCAGATATGGATCTGCATAGCGACCTCGTACGGGCAAACGCAGTATAGAACGACCCTCTACTAGGTATAGTGTCAATTCATGGACGCATGTGGCTCAGGATCGTTCCTTATAGCAGTCTATAGGGGAGGCCTATGTTCAGCAGTGGACAGATAATAATTGTGATTGATCCCATATCTACAGCTTGTAGACATATCACTGAAGCTGCAGTTTTCAACCGATTTCAAAAAGAAGAAAGTTTTTAATTCGGTAATTATAATTTTTTGTTACAGATTTGTTTATACGTCTTGGAAATGCTTCTACTCAACATTTTCAATACTTGGCCAGATTTATATGGCCCTAATGTGTGTTTATAATTTTTCATTATTCCTTACATCGTTGAACAATGTAGGTAAGTAAATTAAGTGTATTTTAATTTTAAATATTTTAATGATTTTTTTTATCAATAGTTTCAACAATAGTGACTTTTAAGGAACTTAAGATATACTTAGAGTATTTTTATGCAACTTGTTGCATAAAAAATACTGGCAAATAAATGGCGAACAAGCTAATGGCCCACCTGGTGAAAATAGGTAACCGTCACCCATATAAATAAGCAGTACCATGGACATAACAGAGTATACTGTTTCGCCCATGATAACCAACATGTGTTGCCATTCCTGAGTAATTAGGTGTTATGCCTCTGTATCCTGTAAATTCATTGCCATATATACCCTTCAAGTATATCTTAAGTTCTTTAAAATTTTCTAAAATCTATAAAATATGTCTAAAGCAACGTACTTACCTAAGTCTAAATAATCATTTCTTCTCGCGTTTAATATTGTATTGTGTAATATGTAAATCCTTAACTTTTTTTAATAATACAGTGTAAAGATAAAAACACAATATGAAAATAAAAAATTCAAATCAACTTTACCGCCTCCTACATTATTTCGTTTTTAATTTGAATTTGGAATAATGAATGCAAATGTGCCAATAAGGCCAGCAACAATTTGACATTTAAATCTGATTGAAACTTTTTTAATTTATACGACAATAAAAAGTTATATGTACGTACTTAGAGTATTAAAAAGTAATAAAAAAACTTAAGTCCGTTAGCACTTGGATGTTTATTTTTCTTTATTATAATTTGATTTAGGTATTGTCGGCAAAGAAATTTTTGTTGTGAAAAAATTTAGTACAGCTGACGGTTAGTGGAATAGCATTTTAAATTAAGATTAATAGAGGATGGCTTCGTGGCCTAGTTCCTCTGTAGCTTCATTTAAAAAAATAGTATTGTTCATGAGTGCTATGTTCAAGTCTAGAAAACTAAATATTTTTTTAAACGCCGAATACTCCTAGAGCATACTCTAGATTTATTAGATATATAATAATAACTTCTTCCCTTCCATTCCATAATTTAAGATTTTGTTTTACAAAAAAAAAAAAAACAATTTAAGTCATCTAATTTTCTAAATAAAAAGATTCGTCAGCATCAACTTTTAGAATTTTCGTTGCATAGTTTATTGTTTATAAGAAATGGGAATAAAGGTGATCATTTAGGTAAAATATGATAACTTATCAGGGTTAGTTTCGAGGTCCCGAGACAGATCTACATATCAAAGCTTACAAGCGTGGTAGATTATTGCACTTGTATATTTGTATTTTTGTGAAGAAGAGATTTTTTTCTATACAACTTAGAATGGCAAACAAGCTAACGGCCCACCTGATGTAAAGTGGTAACCGTCGCCTATAGACATGAGCAGTACTATGGACATAACAGAGTATACTTTTTTTTATAGTAATAGGTGGCCAACGTCGTTGGTGACACAAAAATTATTGATATTTAGATACATATGTATATATATTGTTATTGTATTTACTGTTTGTTGACCTAAATAAATAAAATAAAAAAAAATACTGTTTCGCCCATGATACGCCCCATGCGTTGCCATTCCTGAGGACACAGATATTATTCCTCTGTACCCTGTAAATTCACGCCATATCTCAACCTTCAAAGCGAAACACAGCCATGCAAACGCAACTGCTTCACGGTAGAAACACGAATGGGACAGAGGTACCCAAGCATTCGACTTTTGTACAAAGTCTCCCTCTGGTCTGGTCTAGTCTCTATTTATCTGTACGTAACAAACAATGACACTAATCGTCTAATCCTCAAGCTAAAATATTCGTGTTATGAGGATTCCTACAACGTACAACCCAGAACATCCAGAACCGAATCAGTTTTAAAAACTTCATTTACTAATTAAAAAATAATTTTTTTTCAGCACCATTAATCTTCTATACAACATCATGTATCACCATGATCATGTTCTATGACGCAGCAAGAGCATGGCCAACTCTGGTACAGCACATAGCGCACACTGAACTCATTGACCCTAATTATGATAAGAAACTGACCATAAAGTGTAACATTACATGTGCTGTAGTACTAACGTTGGCTTTGTGTTAGTACTATCATTTTTTTATTTTTTTTTTAAACTTAGAATGGCAAATTAGCTATAATATACTGTCTGAGATCATTTTATTGGTCCCAAACATGTTTGTATGCCTGCATGAAGCAGGCTAGTCACATAGCTCGAAGAACCGACAACCGATGGAGACGAAAAGGTCTTAAGTGGCGTCCCTGCACCGACAAACGCAGTGTAAGATGAGCTCTCTACTAGATAGAGCGATGACTTTAAATATACTGTAGTGAGTCAGTAGATGCAGGTAGCTTAGGACCATATTCCTTATGACAGTTTATAAGGGAGGCCTATGTTTACCAATAGACAGATAATGGCTGATACATATATGCATTAGGTATCAAGCAGAGTCCAGTTTTTTTTTTTTTATGAATGGCAAATAAACTGAAGGTCTAATTAATAGCTATGAATCACAGAATGCTCTATGATCCCCATGGTGCATAATACAATTTTTCAAGACTAAGGTGTTATCCCTTTATACTCTATTTTGCCCACAGCCATATCTCACCCTTCAAACTGAAATGAAGCCATGTACTCTTATAATATGATTCTATTTATTATTATTTATTATCTACAGGAGATTGGCTATAATGTTCTCTCGGTAATAGTTCACTAACGCGTAGATAGGACTCTTTATCCTAATTTAAGGACAAGTCAAGAGTTATACCTGTATTATGCTATAAAAATATATATTTTTTACAGTAGAACATACCCTATCTCTTCTGTCAAAATTTGCCGCAGCCTCAGTGTGTTACCCTGACGAGAGTGTCTACGAAGGCTTTATTAAGCACTCCTTCCCTTCAATCTTTCAAGTACTGCCATATTCAACTGCGTTGGGAGTACTTACACAGGTGCCCAATTATTTTTGTTCATCTAACTACATTACTTTTACGTGTATCATAAATTCATCTCAAGTATGTTTATTTAATGTGTATTTTTTATTTTTACTCATATTATGTATGTATAACTTAATTTCATATAATTTGTTAACTGTTCACTCTATAAGGTGAATTTTGCTAGTTGTTGCCATGTTTGGCAGGCGGGTTGGCAGCCGCAGTTAGGCCCTTGATGATGTTTAAGGATTCTGTTGCCCATCCCCCTACTATTAAGTTCCCTTAGTTGCTTCTTACGACACTCACGGGAAAGGAAGGGGCAGCCCATTCTATTCTGGGACTTCACAGCAATTTTTTTTATCATTCAATTTCATTTCATTAACTAATATTATGATGTTACTTTATGTTGTTTAATTTTTTTTCATAAATTCATCTCAAGTATGTTTATTTAATGTGTATTTTTTTATTTTTACTCATGCATGTGTAACATAATTTCATATAATTTGTTAACTGTTCACTCTATAAGGTGGATTTTGCTAGTTGTTGCCATGTTTGGCAGGCGGGTTGGCAGCCGCAGTTAGGCCCTTGATGATGTTTAAGGATTCTGTTGCCCATCCCCCTACTATTAAGTTCCCTTAGTTGCTTCTTACGACACTCACGGGAAAGGAAGGGGCAGCCCATTCTATTCTGGGACTTCACAGCAATTTTTTTTATCATTCAATTTCATTTCATTAACTAATATTATGATGTTACTTTATGTTGTTTAATTTTTTTTCATAAATTCATCTCAAGTATGTTTATTTAATGTGTATTTTTTTATTTTTACTCATGCATGTGTAACATAATTTCATATAATTTGTTAACTGTTCACTCTATAAGGTGGATTTTGCTAGTTGTTGCCATGTTTGGCAGGCGGGTTGGCAGCCGCAGTTAGGCCCTTGATGATGTTTAAGGATTCTGTTGCCCATCCCCCTACTATTAAGTTCCCTTAGTTGCTTCTTACGACACTCACGGGAAAGGAAGGGGCAGCCCATTCTATTCTGGGACTTCACAGCAATTTTTTTTATCATTCAATTTCATATCATTGACTAATATTATGATATAACTTTATGTTGTTTAATTTTTTTTTGTCTTCTCTCATTTGCTGTAATTTTTTTTTTTTATTACAGAATATATTCAGAAATGCCAATATTACGTCTTATTAGCATTATTATATACTGAAACATTCAGTGTCATTAAGTATAGTATTTTTTTTAAGTGTTGAGAATAAATATTACTACACCATATAGTTGCTGATGAAAACTTCTGCATTTATAGTCTATTCTCGTGTGATATTTTTAAAATTTTATAATTGTTTTAATAACGGTATTAAATATTCTTATTTTTTTCAACCGACTTTAAAAAGAAGCAAGTTCTCAATTCGGTTGTATTTCTTTCATATTTGTTACCTCATAACTCTATCAGTTGTAAACAAAACAGTTTCTGATAAAAAAATCTTTTTTTTATCAGAAAGGATGTAATTATAGATCGGTCTCATAGACATGTTATCAAAGTAGATTTAGTAGTTTAATTTTTAAATCAATATAACTAGTTTTGCCACAATTTAAATCGCTTCTTTTTTTATGGCATACGTAATTATTATTACAATAATAACTCTCTTGTCTTGCGTTCCATATAGTTTTTTTTTATTTTTTTTATTAGATACATCATAATAGCAAAGGACAATCGTACGACGTGTTTCAATTTACACTCGAATATTCTCGTGTCCCTTCCTCTAGCGAAATAAAAACGTCCGATTTATTTCTCTCCAATTTCCTTACAGTTTCTGCACTTTCAATCGACGTTTATTTGGAATTTCTCCGATTTGTTCGTGATATGCATGAGTTATTATTTGACGTCACGTCTCGAGCATGTAAACGAGAGATTGCTGGAAGCGCAAGGGAAGGTTAGTTTATTAACTTTAAAATTATTGTTATTGTATATTTTTCTAAACATTGTTGTAATAATTTTTGGAAGTTATATAAGGATAGGCAAGGGGTACCAGTGAAAGGTGAAAACTGATAGGTGAAGATGAAAAGGCGTTAGTTAGCCCATCGTGACGAATTCAAGGATAAATTGGTCACGATAGTTTCCAGGGGGAACCTCGTGGAGGTCGACCTAATAGAAAATATTGATAGTAATGGGGACTAATTACCACTTACCATTATTAACATTAACAGTTATTAACATTAACAGGGGACCATTACTAACAATCCCTTCCCCCCATACACATTACTATTAGGATACCAAATGTAATGGTAAATTTACTTGATTTCGTCTCATGTCTTTCTGTTTCTATGTGTATGAATATTTAGTTTTATGATATGATATGTAGAGTGAATTAAATTGATAATCTTGAATGACATATATAGATGATTTAACATAATGCATATTCATATCATCAGCACAGTCAGGTGGTCCACATTCACCTTACTAATTTAATTAAATTACTGATATCTATAAATAAGAGATATTTAGAGAAAAATTGCTATGACGGGTCTTAATAAGATACCAATAGATTCCAAACAATAATTTTGAGAAATTTTGTCTGTCTGCATGTCTGTTTTGGTATCAAGCAAGAAATACTGCACCAAATTTGATGCGATTTTCCTAATTGTTTTTCTGAAGTTATAATTTAAAATCTGGTATTTATATTTATAAAATTTAAAATCGAAACAGTATACTCTGTTATGTCCATGGTACTGCTCATGTCTATAGGCGACGGTTACCACTTTCCATCAGGTGGGCCGTCAGCTTGTTTGCCATTCTAAGTTGTATAAATAAAATTTTTTTTTCATCTTAATAAGCCATTTAAGAGTGGTCTACTTTATTGATTTTTCCTACTTCTGAAATCTAAACACAAAACTGAATTTCCGAACGTACAAAATAATGGACAAAAAAAAAATTATAAAAAAAAACTGCTGGGCCTGAACCGTATTTATGGACATCAAAATTTATAGTACTATCACTCTCTTAATAATACTCTCTCAACATTTAACATCTCTATATTATAAAAAAAAAAATTTGCGTCATGTTCGAAAGGACATGGCGTATAGTTGAATGACACCATTTTAGCGTTTAATCTTTTTCATTATTTTTTGTTTACTGTTAATTTTTTTTATTATTATTATGTGTTTTTAATGTGAAATTAAGCACTAAATAAATATTTTTATCTCTCTTTCTTTCTTTCTATAGTTGCCACTTCTATTTATTCCAATTCTTATGAGCTTTACTTCTCTATATGTACAAATACAGGTACTAAACTAACTAGGCGATTCTTTCAATTTATTTTGTATTCAACGAACAGTTCTCGATATTATTACTGTATGAGGAATTTATAGAGGAAGTAATGTTTTAAACCAACTTAAAAAAAGGAGGTTCTCAATTCGGTTGTATTTTTTTTTCTTTTTTTTATGTTTATTTCGTCATAACTCCGTCAGTTGTAAACTAAATTGGAATTTGTTAGCTCATAACTCCGTCACTTGTGAACTCTTGTGAACGTTTATATGAGAAAATTGTCATAAATATGTCTAAAGACTTAATTTTTAGTATAAAAGTACCTAAAATGATACCTAGACAATGTCTGTACATGGGCGATATTTAGGGAAAATAATATAAGGGATCTTAATATTACTAAAATAATGTCAAAATAATAATATATAATTTATCGTCATACATCATCCAGCTGCAATCTATTTACTTCTGAGATCCACGCGTACGTAGTAGAGGCCAAAAATCTAGTGCGCTAAAACGCTTTTTGTTTTTACCTAATGGTTAGCTGATAGAGAATGCCATACGGCATTAATTTCACTGTGCAACAAATATTAAAGAAATAAATAAAATATATAATGATTAAAATGTTCAAGTACCTACCAGAGACGTTTTGGCGGACGACCCGTGAGGATTACTGCAGAGCGACCAAGTTGGTGAGGAAGGTGGATGATGTTATCAGCGGAATCGTGTTCATGTCGTTTGCTAACAACCTAATCTTTGTCTGCTTACAGCTGTTCAACACATTGGAGTGAGTCTATCTATATGCTGTATCTATATATATGCTTCTTAGGGTTTCTCTAAACATTATTGACTTTTTTTATTTATTTCCTTGAATCATTAAGAAGAGAAAACAGTATAGTTGTTTCTATTAAGAAATAATAAATATGTTTAATTAAATACAAAGTAACTTATATACTTACATTCAAAATACATACATATCTGTATATAATAATACATATATATGTACATATGTAAAATATTATCTCTACATATACAAAATACGTATATATATATATATATATATATATATATATATATATATATATATATATATATATACAGTTCAAGTTAAAGTAAAGTTAAATATATATAGAATATGATCTTTTAAATTTAAATAGATAGGTTTAAAAAAAGGTGCCTAAGAGTCGTCCTCATTAATTCATCCGCCTAAAATCTTAGTCTAATAAAAGCCTTAGTCACGTATGTTGTGTTCTCCTTATAATAAAATTACCAATCAACTCATTAGGACAGATCCGTTGTTCGCATCGTACAGCGAGGACGGAGTCCCTAAACAAACCATCTGAACCCCTAGCCTTGTTAAATAATATCTCCATGATTTTTCAATTGCCAGAGTTGTTTAATATCATCAAATTTGAATTACAAATTGATAAAGAAACCTGTTTTCAATATATAAGTATTATTTATTAAAAATACATAAAATGGAGTGATCTATTTTCATCAGTGGACAAATAATCATCATGTCAAGTCATCATGTCATCAATCATGTCTATAGGCGATGGTTACCACTTTCCATCAGGTGGGCCGTCAGCTTGTTTGCCATTCTAAGTTGCATAGGAAAATAACGGCTGATATGATGATGACGATGATGATGATGATACTTAAAAGGTAACTAAAATTGGTAACTACGAGTATTATTAATAAAATACTGATTGATATAGACATCTTACTTGATTTATTTTCCAATACTGGACCGATTTTGACAGTTCTTTTTAGATTAAATAGAAGGTTTAATTTTGTCACTATGAAGGCGCTGTTTTTTCTAAGGTTCAGTTTCTAAATTATCCTGTGTAATATTTGAAATATGAATGACAGGACTATAATCTAATCTAATATTGTAAAAAGGAAAGTTTTGATTTTTGATTCTAGTTTATTTCTAACTTAAAAAATACATAAACTTATTTAAAAATTATTTCGTCTATAGTAAACTACATTGTCTATGAGTAACATGTTCTGTATTTTCTTTAAAAAAATCAGGGATATTGTGCTTATCTAACTGTACAAAGCCAGAGCAGATCAATAGTATATCATATTTGTATTGAGTATTTTTTTAATTATTTTTACAGAGATGGTATTAAAGGTAAAGGTGAATGCAGTAGCCGAACTAAAGGGCAAGTATAACATATGTTATTTCATAATTTGATTTTTGATTAGATGCATTGATATTGAAATATTTAACTGCAATGTTGAAAATAACTGTTAATTTTGGATTATGAGTTTCATTGTTTCTGACTGTTAAACATATCTAAAAGTATAAACTCTAATAATAAACTAAAATATCGATTATATAGGCTAAAATAAAAATTAATATTTTAAAAGCTAATAACTAAAATATTAATGAATAGGTTAGGTACAGATAAATAGAACAGGTCAAAAATGTACAACATATGTATTCATTTTGTTTGTGTACATATTGTTTAGCTTTATAATCTATATCTTTTTTGGAGGGAACAATAAAGAGTTTTCATTCATTCATTCATTCAATATATAAAAAATCAACACTTACTTCATATTTATTTGGTTTATTAAGTTATCAAATACTTTTTTTGCCACTAAATTACAAATTTTAGTGACATTCTTTAAAGTTAACATTATACTCAGCTATTAGAGTAATTTGTAAATAATCAAATAGAAATCTTAGGTAAAAAAAAATTCACAAATTTTTTTTTGTTTGACAGATAATTTTAACGTTGCTACACTTCGGTATAAAAATTCCTTATTTTGTTAGATTTAATTGATATGAAATAGAGTCAACTCAAGACTGTGTTTGCACAGACATTAAGTTTTATTGAGATTATTGACTCAAATAATATAATGAAATATGATATTCTGAGAAATAATTAGATAACAATAACTTTAATAAATGAACAACTAATCAACTTATATTTATAAGCCTGTATATTAAATTGCTTACATTGAGCAAAATACGTGACCTTAGATATGATTCTTAATATCTTAGATAAAGAATTAGTTTCTTTGTATCTTTGACAAAATATATCTTTATATAGTGGTTATTTAATCTAATTGCTTATTACACGACTGCCCAAAAAGGAGTGTAATGTTTTTTTTTGGTTTAAATATGTAAGATTTTTATTCCACCATAACTTCTGAATACCTCAACAGACTTTATGTGGGGTATTGTTAGAATCCTTACATTATAACGAATGACACCAACTATAAATAGTCCACTTTAGTAAGGTAGTTTTTTTTTTATTTGAAAAGCAAAATGTACCTGTTTTCAAGTATATATTATTTCGACATTGCATACCTTACGTTAAGAACTCAAATATCGACACAATTCATTACTCTCGGAATAGGATAACTGTCTTTTATTGTGATTACAACTTCTAATCTATCTTATAATTTTCTTTGGCAGGAGTTGGTTTCATTTAAGATACTCCTAAATTTATAATTTTCTTCGTTAGGAGTTTGTTCTGTTACAAACAAATACTCATTTGACCTCAATGCATTTTGAACAGTTTTATTTAATAGCTAACAATAACAGAATCTGTTTGAATCTTTATTCTCAATTGCATGTAGATATATATATATATATATATATATCTATCTAATATATAAAATTCTCGTGTTGCGATATTTGTATATATATATATATATATATATTCATTATAATTACAGTAAACCTTTTTACAATAGTGATAATACTCACGTACAATCATACGAGAAAATAATTTTAAAATATTATACTTTTTTTTTACTGCAAAAGTGCCTTCTTATTTTGCAAAGGAATATACCTATAATGCCATATTTTTTTTTAAATAAATACTTTTTTCTACAGAACTCCATTACTGGGTGGTTATGAAGCAGCGATATACTTTGTGTTCTCCCTGATATTTCTGATAAGTCGTTCAGTGGCTGTGTCACTTATAGCGGCTCAAGTCAACACCGCCTCTGAAGTACCCGTTCCTGTACTGTACGATGTACCTTCACCGGCTTACTGTGTCGAGGTGATTATTAACAGTAGGTTTATTTGGTTTATTAAGTATAAATATATAGGTATTATACACACACTGCACGCTGGTAATTAGAGCTCCTTACCACTGCTGGATTTGCTGGAAGAAAACTCTAACAGAGTTAAGCTCACATGTTGTACATCTTTATTAAAAAAAAATAACAATATAATCTCTGTTTGTTGACAGCGACGATGATGATGAATCTTTGTGTACAATAGAGTATAAATAAAAAAAAATAAGTGCACATTATATCGCGTCATTTAGTTCCAAACCTTATATATATATATATATATATATATATATATATATATATATGTAAATATGACACCATTTAATAATAAATAAATAACCACAGATTGAGATAACTGTCGTTTATCCCTCCATATCTTTGATTTATATTATTCTTTTTTCTTAACAGGTACAAAGGTTTATAGATCAAGTGAACGGAGATAATGTAGCACTGAGTGGTTTAAAATTCTTCAGTGTTACGAGAAGTTTACTATTGTCGGTACGTACCATAATCTATTTATGTATATAAAAGATAAAGATATATTTATTTATAAAAGTATGTTTGTTTAAGCACAGAATTTATCATTGATTCCTACACTAGGCTGAGCCTGTTCTGTAAAAGAGGATGCTGTTAATCTGACTGACTCATATATCAACGCATAGCCGAAACCGCTGAGTCTAGAATCTTTAAAATGTTGCATATTGGTTTTCTTTATAGCGTAGGTGAAAAATAAGAAAGAAATTTAACTCAAAGGAGGTAAAACAGGGGTTTTACTCCCTTAGGATTAAATTTCAGGTACATAGATATGTAATTTTGTGAGTTTAGAAGTTAAATACGTAAAAATTTTGATGTAGGCTCTTAGTTCAAATTATTGGCTTTTTATAAATTCATCCCTAAAGGATGAAAATCTATGTGGGAGCAAACGAAGCCGCGGGCAAAAGCTAGTGTATTTATAAAATTAATAATTAATAAATATAACTTACCAAAAAAAGTAGGTAGTACAAAATTCATCTGCACCTTTGTCCCACTTATATTTCTGCCGTGAAGCAGATGTGTTTTCATAGCTGTGTTTTAGTTTGAAAAGTGTAGTATGGCAGTGAAGGTACAAGATATGGATGAATAATTCTGTCATCATCATCATCATCATCATCATCATCATCATATCAGCCTTTTGTCCACTGCTGAACATAAGTCTCCACCATTTTTTTTGCCAGTAGTTGCTATGCTTCGAAGGCGGGTTGATAACCGCAGTTAGGCTTTACAGATTAGATGAGTCGACTCTTACGACACCCACAGGAGAGAAAGGCCTATTCTATGCCGAAACCATACGGAAATAACTCTAACCATACGGAAATAAATAGCAAAGTATATAGGATATTTTGGCAGTCACAATATATACTGTGAAGTTAAAAACTTTAAGCAACAGTTACAAATTTCCATTAGGCAACATGTTAATTAAAAAAATGTAACTTAAAACTCATCTAAGTGGGTGACTTACGAGGTCTTATTCGTAAATATTTTATTTTCAGGTTGCCGGCACTATTGTCACTTACGAATTAGTGATGTTCCAGTTCAACTCCCCGTCAACAACTAGTACGACATCGACTGTGCAACCTAATACCACTACTATAGCACCTTAATATTATTTTTTATTTACGTATGGGGTCAGCCAAGCTAAGCTAAGCCATTACACGTCGACCCATTGGGACCTTTTGTTCTCCTCTTTACCTTATACTATCATTTTATAGATCGTATGTGGTACCTTTGCGATATCCGGCGGTTTAAGATATCAATCGTTTCCTAACTCTGGTTAAGACGTTTCCAGTAGACTATATGCTGTCGCCTGTATATGCTAGTTGCCAAGGAATAACAGTTGAAGATCAGGTGTTCCATGGATTCCGATTCGTTACTGCACAATTTGCACAGTGTGTCCGAAGATAGGCCCATCTTGTATAGTATATGCCTTACGAGTACTGACATATATCCAGTTAAGGCACTCATTATGAATCTTGCCTATTGTGTACCACCACTGCAGTTCGAGTTTATTCTATCCCTCTTGTCGTTTAAAAACTTTTTAAAATGCCTGAGACCCTTCAATTTTCTCCATTTCTTATACCGTTTTATTTTCGCATATTGTTCAAGGGCATAATTAATGACACTTGATGTAAGTGTTTATTTATATACCACCTGGACCTATCATTTTTAATGTTATATAATTAATAACGCTCAGGCTGTGGAATGAGCTCCTTGCCAAGTTTTTTCCTAGAGACTACAATAGGGGGTTCTTCAAAAAGGATATATTAAGGTTTCTTCAGGGTCGGCCAAGCACACTTAATACCCCTAGTATTGCAGGCTACAGCGACCATTTACCATCAGACAGGCTGTATGCTTGTTTGTTACCTTTGTGGTATAAAAAATTATTAATACTTTAACCCTTAAATACCTGAAGTTTTAAATTTGATACCGGGGTTTGCATTGTTTCATTGTTAAACAAATTTAAATATTTTGATTACAGTAATGACTAAAGTATCAAAAATGATACCAAATGTTTTTTCAAAATCTAATATATAAAAATATCGTTTTGATTTTTTTTTTTCTACTTTTCCCCATTAGTAAACACAGTAAAGGGTACACTTATATATTTTTTAATTTGATTTAAAAAATCAGGCTTTTAAGGGTTAGTAGTACTTTATATTATATAATTTTTATTATTTTCATAACTTTACTATAGTATTTCATTGTACATTAAAAGTTATTTATATTATATATTTATAATACAACTACGCGATTTCACTGATTGTAAAAATAAATAACGTAAAAATATATCTCATACTATTATCTATTCCAAATACGAGTTCTAGATGTATACAAAACTATAAAGTTAAATCCCGCGGCTGCACCCGTATCGTAATATCAAATGTTTGAAGTTATTAAAACACACACATATAGTTGCAAAGATTAGCGCAAACTATTTTTTAGCTTTATATTTTTTTATACAACTTAGAATGGCAAACAAGCTGACGGCCCACCTGATGGAAAGTGGTAACCGTCGCCTATAGACATGATTGATGACATGATTACTTGACATGATGATTATTTGTCCACTGATGAACACAGATCACTCCATTTTATGTATTTTTAATAAATAATACTTATATATTGAAAACAGGTTTCTTTATCAATTTGTAATTCAAATTTGATGATATTAAACAACTCTGGCAATTGAAAAATCATGGAGATATTATTTAACAAGGCTAGGGGTTCAGATGGTTTGTTTAGGGACTCCGTCCTCGCTGTACGATGCGAACAACGGATCTGTCCTAATGAGTTGATTGGTAATTTTATTATAAGGAGAACACAACATACGTGACTAAGGCTTTTATTAAACTAAGATTTTAGGCGGATGAATTAATGAGGTCGACTCTATGCTTTTTAGCCTTTAAAAAAGGAGGTTTCTTGTTTTATTTGTTTATACTAATATTAAAATATGTCTACTGAGCGGACTTAATGCCTGACAGTATTATCTACCAGTCGACCTTTTATTGTATTTTGTTTAATATTCATTACCTTAGAACTCCGTCATTTATAAATTAATATGGATTTTTTTACCTAAAAAGACATACTTTCAGTTTATTTCCATAGAAATTTTATCAAAATCAGTTCAGTTGTTTAGTTTTAATCAATATAACTAGTTTTGTTACGGTTGAAGTTAGTGTTTTTATTTTTTATGAAACAGAATCTTTAATTATTTTTTTTTAATACAAAGTCTTACCACTTAATAAGTTATCCAAGTTAGTCTGACACTAAGTAAGTCTGACAAGTTGATAACGTAAACACAAATTTTCCGCCTCCCTTCACTCTTTGAGTCAATCCTAATAAGATGATTTTGTTGTAGGACTAAAACTCTATGTACGAGTAGGTAATCTATCATATCGTCATAGTCGTAGAATACTGACGGATCTGATAAATATTACATATAAAGATCCGTCGGTATTCTACGACTATGACGATATTTGTCGTGTTTTATAAGATAATAATGAAGCGTAGGATCGTGTTTAAATTATAATAGTGTACCGAGGGGTTGTAGGCTCATAGGCTTTGTGTTTTCGATACATAATTTTTATGTATCGAAAACAATTATGTATAATGTAATATAATCCATAATCTATATCTATACCCTATGCTATTATTATAAAATGGATAAACTAGATTTTTTTAAATATTTCTTTGTTTGTATTTACACATCACATATTATTCCTTAGGACTAGCAAAACACGAAGGCTACTTTGGGCATCACAGTATATTCTGTGATGTTCATGAAACTGTTAATGTCTATTGTCGACCATTATAACTTTCCAATAGGTGAGCTGTTTTCCATTCAACGTATCATAAAAAAATTAAAAAAAAAAGGAGTAAAGACGTTTCTTCAGGGTCAGCAATGCGCATAATGACTGGTATTACAGGTGTTCATAGACTACGGTAACTGCATTTCATCAGGTGGCCTGTATGCTCATTTGCCATCTCACTAGTATAAAAAAAAAATATGAAATCTTTTTTTAAGAGTAAAGAATTCAATATTTTTTTTAATAAAAAACAAACAATATATTACTGAACTAGATGTTATTTTGCGGAAGTAATAGAATATGGGAATCAGAAAAAAAATTTAATGCGTACCTCAAGTGACCCAAAACTGGGAAATCACCTTCTAACTCATGTTTCATTAATCAAACCCTCTATAAGTAAAGTTAGTGACAGCGTAGGGGACCCGTCACGAGTAGGTACGAATAATAATTCAACCTGTCGCATATTTTCCGCACTAGTGCATTATTATAATATTATACATGTTACGTATCAATAAGGAAACTATTATATTATATTCATAGAATTTCTGTAAGTATTAAATGAATTCTGCTTTAATAGTAAGGGGTCAAAGTCGATAGCACTAAAATTTCATGGAATTATTTCTGCGGAAATTTGCCAGAGAGGCTTATTTTTAATAAGCAATAGATTTTTTTAATGGATGATAATGGAATGGTTATTCTGTCTGCGCTACCGGTATACGCTAGCGAGGCACCAGTGAGGGATGAAAGGTGAGAATGCGGGCAAGTCAGTTGACCCATCGTGATGAATATACCTGGAATTCGGCACGATAGTTTCCAGATGGAGCCATGGAGAGGTCGACTGTACAGGGTATATTGCTAGCAATGAGACTGGTAATTCGCATTACTGAAAATCCCTTCTCCCCTTTAAATAATAGAATGTAAATCAACCATCTTTTTTAGTTGATGTCTATTTATCTGTCTGTTATGTTTTGACGAGAAAATTTAATAAAATATTAATATAACTTTAATAAACTTTTTCACGTAAGTATGTTTTATATAAGCTGAAGTAATTAGCATCCTATTAAGGGCCTACTAGTGAAACAGTTTTTTTTTGAATAAATTATTTTGAAAAATAATTAAAACTCAAAAACAAAACTGTGAATCGATTCAGTGATTTAGTTTTTAAATCAAAATAACAGGTTATGCCACAATTAAGTTGGTTTGTTTTGTAGAATACAATTATTACGCATGAAAAAAAAAACATCTGTACTAACTACCAGAAGGAGACTTTGTACAAAAATCGATTGCTTGGGTACCTCTGTCCCATTCGTGTTTCAACCGTGAAGCAGTTGTGTTTGCATGGCTGTGTTTCGGTTTGAAGGGTGGGATATGGCGTGAATTTACTGGGAACAGAGGAATAACACCTGAGTCCTCAAGAATGGCAACGCGTGGGGGTATCATGGGCGAAACAGTATACTCTGTTATGTCCATGGTACTACTCATATCTATAGGCGACGGTTACCACTTTTCATTAGATTGGCCGTCAGCTTGTTTGCCATTCTAAGTGGTATAAAAAAATTCGATTTCTACATATTAGGTTCCTCAAAACATTGATGACAAAAAAAGGGTCATCACTCATTTCGATAATGCCTTATATATTCATTTCAATCGGTTTCTACACTTAGATAATATGTATTAAATAACTTATATTTAACATATCCATTATTAGCGTCAATATATAGATATTATGCCTAAATTACATAGATATAACATGCATTACCTACTCCTATAATAAACATCGAAGACGTGTGAAGTCGTGAAGACAAAACATTGGAAACGGCCTCAGTGTCCCCAGAGAACATTTATGCGTAGTTTGTGAACAAACCGTAGCATCAATCAAATACGTAGCGTCACCAGGTGGGGGCATCCTGTCCCTCAAAATGACTTTATGGTCATCAGCATACATTATACGCAGGTCGACATATGAAGATAAATGATCATAGGACTTTAAAGTTTTTGTCGTCGGGCGTTACGAGTATTGGATGAAAATATACAAGGATTTGCTTATTGAAAATCGTTTATTTTTATAAACTTTATATATATATATATATATATATATATATATATATATATATATATATATATATATATATAACGTTACAAAGAAAAAATAACAAAGTATAGAGTAACTTCCTCGCTTCAATGGATTTCTTTATGTCAACCTTGAGAACCCGTTAGAAGAAACTATTTACTTATCAAAATCGATTGAGAATTTTTTTTATAATATAGCCATGGTTATGGAAGAGCAAGACCATCGCAGGAAAACAAGGATGGCTGTATACTAGGTAATCCTCATATTTTATTGTTAGTCAAATGTAATTATAAGAATTTTTTTTTTTATTTTTTATTGGTAAATATATCTCCATAAAGAAATACAAACGAATTGACAAATTTCTTCTTTTTATAATAGTTTAAAACAATTTCTTTGGGTAATAAACGTATATTATTACTTTTTTAATAGTTTACTTTGTATTTTGTATTAAGAACTCGATACGAAAATACTTTAAATTTGGTTTACAAACTCGCTAATTATGTATCAAATATATTATATGATTTTACCGTCACGATATAATACGAAAGTAAAATGTATGATCTTTTTTCCCTGTACGTAATACCGTGTTACGATTGTTGCGATTAAAATATGTTCATGCAATTGCATATTTTTTGCTCCCCTATTATATCGTATCGATAAAGTCGTACGATATCATACGATACTACGATTAATATAAAGGCCCCTATTTGGTACGTTTTATAAGCGCATACAGTTCGGCGTTATACAAATACTTTCAGAATTCCTTATGTTAAGTGTGCGAGAGTTGCAAAGTAGCCCCATAAGTTTTATGTGAGGGTACGAACAGCTACGATACCT